GAACTGTCTCTTGCCCTCCACAGGGAGGTGTCCCAAGCCCTTGAAGAATCGTGATGTCATCACCCTCCGCTCCTGGCTTCCAATGGGCACTGACTACATCATTATGAACTACTCAGTCAAACATCCCGTGAGTCAACCTGCCCTCCCTGCCAAGTGGGCAGCGGAAGGTATTAGGCAGGGCTGGGCCATGGCTGCCACCATGACTTTACTGGGACTTTGGACAGGCATGGGCCCTCAGTGTCCTTCCTACAGAGTGAGGATAATGGCTCTGTCTCCCTAAGAGATCAGGAGAAGGCAGTGCAGCTATCTCAGTGGCAAGAAGGGTAGGATGGGATGACTTTGGTTGGGGTCTATAATAGGGCAGGCCAGAAAAATGGGGAGCAAGGGGTAGGAGGCAGGGTCCTCTGGCCATCTCTGAGTGTGGGCCACCTCGATCTCCCAGGGAAGGGAGGATAGGCAGGTTTGGCTAGCCTAGGCAAGAATGAGTGTGTAAGTCTTTGGATGCTCATGTGTGCTCATGAGTCCTGGGCCCACAATGGTAGCTTTCCTGAGGGGAGCAGGGAAAACCTCAAGAGGAACTAGTCTGATTTTATCCTTCTCTTCACTCAGAATCAGGCCCAGCCTAGAGAGAGATGTGTGTATATTCCCAAAGACATTTCCTTTGCCCCCACCCTCAGTCTTACCTCCATGTACCTTCCATCCCCAGAAATATCCACCTCGAAAAGACTTGGTCCGAGCTGTGTCCATCCAGACGGGCTACCTCATCCAGAGCACGGGGCCCAAGAGCTGCGTCATCACGTACCTGGCCCAGGTGGACCCCAAAGGTGAGGGCTTGACCCTGCAGTAGTTATGAGATCCTTCCCTATACCACAGGGGATGGGGCTTGATCTACTTAAGGATCCAGAAGGACATTGCTGTTTTATATCCAAAGCCTTGTTTGAACCAAGGTTTGAGATTTTACTGAAGTTGGAAAAGAATGGGCCAGGTGGCTACTGTTGCATTGAAGAAGCTTGGAACTCTCTTCCTGGGCTCAGACACCCCTGTGCTCTGACTTGCTCCTTGCTCACTGGCTGTTCCCATTCTGTCTGTCTGGTACCTATCCTCTGCCTATTCTGGAGGCCTGGGTTTTCCAGACCTCAGTTCTCTCCCCCTTGGGAAGGCTCAGCCACTCCTATGGCTTTAGTGGCAGCTGATCACATGTCTCTCTGCTGAGATCCAGATTGCTGTAGCTGTCGGCCCCCTGGACATCTTCAGGATGTCTTTGAGGTCCCTGAGACTCACTGTGTCCAACAGTGGACTCACTATCTTTCCTCTGACCTGCCAGTAACCTGTGGTCATCTGGGGACATTCCCTCTTCCTCAGATCCCAAATCTAGTCACTGATTCTTATTGATTCTGCCTCCCAAATAGCTCCTAAATCTGTTTGTCTCCATGGTCAGCTACCTACTCTGTACCAGCTACCAGAGAAATTTTTCTAAAATACTTATTTCTTATGACTCTCCGCTGCTTAAAGTTCTTCTATGACTCTCTTTTGCCCTCAGAGTAACGTCTAAGCCCCTACTCAGGTTTCCTGGTCCCTCCTCACACCTTACACTTTCACACCTCCATGTCTAGGCAGCCCTTTCTTGCAGCCTAGATATATCTCTCCCCCTCTACTCAATCCTCCAGTGCTGCTGCAGATGTCACCTCCCTTATCCCTGGCCACCAGTCACTAGTCCACTGCTCTGTGGGCACATTCCCCTCTACAGAACACTTGGCACACTGTTGGGCCCTTTGACAGTGACTTCCTTTCTGGTTCCTCAGGCTAGCCCAGGGGGGTGGGGCATCACAGTGAATGTGGAATGAGTGAGTAAGTGAATGAATGACTAGAGGGTGGGTAAACCTTAAGCATCTTTGCCTGGGAATGCTTCAAGCTCCCAGGGCCCAGGGGCCCAGGGCTCCCTCTGGCACCTCATTGAGTGTATTAGGCATCAGAGCAGACACTTGGAAATGAGACAGGGTTGAGAACTGGGCTGTGGATTCCAGGTCAGGCCAGGTTGGGGGCTTTAGCTAGAGGCCTGTGTTGTCAGGGAGGGGGCTTAGAAGGACAGACAAAAGAGAGGCTGAGAGGGGTTAAATATGAGAAGGAATGTCAGTGTGAGTAGAGGGAGGTGGCAGGCTGGAGCTTGGTGGGTAAGAATTTCAACCCATGTGTAGCATGTGGTCACCTAGGACCCTGTGATTTTCTTCCACATGGTCATTTGGGGCTTAGCAGAAGGAGAAGGGGAAATAGAGTTGAGCCTAAGGACCTTGGTCTGAGGTAGAAAGAAGGAGTGAGGATGAAGTCTGGTAGGATTTGCCTCACATACTCCCCTTCCCATGGATGGGCAGAGGGAGGGGACTGGTGTATGTGTATGGTGGGGACTGAGGCTGCTTCCTCCCTTCTCACTACCATTCCTTGCCCTCTAGGCTCCTTACCCAAGTGGGTGGTGAATAAATCTTCTCAGTTCCTGGCTCCCAAGGTGAGTGTCCTTAGGACTTTGGGGGTATGGAGGCTGGGGAGAGGAATTTGGGAATAGGGGATGGAGTCAGGGATAGACGGGTGGGGGCGGGGTTAGGACTTATGGGTGGAGTTATGAAACTGGAGCCAGAGTTAGGAGGTTGGGGCTAAGCCACTGCAGAGGGCGCAGAGAAGACCTCATCTGTGCCCTGGCCACTCCTGACACCGTGGGGCGGCGGTCCCACAGGCCATGAAGAAGATGTACAAGGCATGTGTCAAGTACCCTGAGTGGAAGCAGAAGCATCAGCCTCACTTCAAGCCCTGGCTGCACCCGGAGCAGAGCCCATTGCCGAGCCTGGCGCTGTCGGAGCTGTCTGTGCAGCATGCGGACTCGCTGGAGAACATCGATGAGAGCTCAGTGGCTGAGAGCCGAGAGGAACGTATGGGCGGTGCTGGTGGCGAGGGCAGCGATGATGACACCTCGCTCACCTGAGCGCGGTACTACTTCAAGGACCCAGATAGAAAATGGACCGAGCCCTGGAGCAGCGGATTCTCCTACACTTTCTTCCCTCCCCCACTCCCCACGCCTCCTGGGGGCGCTGGGCTCGGGCTCAGGCCCAGGCGGGCGCTGCGGCCTGGCTGGACACAGCCCCAATAAACGATCCCACAGCCTCAGCCGGCTTATCACTTGTGCCTGCTTCCCACCTTCCTGGGCACCACCACTGCTCTAGTCCCTGGTTCTACAGTTGATTTTGTTAACGTTATTGATTGCTTGATGTTTGATTCTTCAGCCTTCTTTTCATTTCCCTAGTGTGAGTGTGTGTGCAGGGTGGGGTGGGGTGGGACAAGGGAAGGGTTGTTACCCCCTTCGCTTGCCCATAGTCTGTTCATTAGTTCTTTATTCATCCATCCCCTTGTCCTTGTGCCATTCATTTTGCCATTCACACCAGGCTATTTTCACTACTCTAAGGAAAGGAGCAGGCCTGGCCAGAGGCTCTGGTCAGGGGTAAGAATGCAGGTTCTACTGACCCTACGCTTTGCAGGCCCCCTTGAGTTCAACCTCTGAACTGGGGATCTGACACTGTCCTGTCATCACGGAAAGGAGGAAGAGGGGTCTATGGGTCTCAGGCTCTGGGCTCTGGAGCTGAGGTTGGGGCAGCATGTCCTGAAGGAGGGAGCTCAGGGGTATAGTTGGAAGGACCAAGCTCTGATTCATACCCTTCCTAGGTCATTTTGAAGACATCAGGACTGTGTTAACAGGAATCCTGTCATCATGTACTCCACCTGGCTGCTCTGAGGTCTAGAGGGCTGCCTGAGTCTCCCCTGTTCTCTGTTGTCCCCAGGTCAGGAGAGTCCTGAATTCTGCTCCTCTCCAGTGTGTTTTCCCTGACATGAATGAACTTGGGGCCTGGAAATTTTCTTCCAGGGTCTGGTCCTATTCTCACCTCCCAGAAAGCTCTTTGTCCTGGCTCTGCCAGCGGAAGACACAGTCTACTCAGTCCGCGCTTTTCCAGAGGGACAGGGTGAATGGCCAGTGAGGGTTGGGCAGGAGATTTGTAACTCACCAAGATGGGTTCCGATCCCATCTTTGTCTAATACCACCTTTGTAACTTTGGGCAAACCCTGGTATTTCTTGGAGCCTTACTTCCTAATCTATAATCTAGGGTGATAATTTTTGCCTCTGGAGAGTAAGGACTGTGATAAAAGAAATAAATTGCTCATCACTGGGGCTGGCTTATAGTAGGCACTCAAATTATTGACACTTTCCTTTTCCTGGATAAACCCCCATGTCCACTCTGGTGGGAGCTATCCTTCTAGTTATCCTCTTTGTACATATGGAGAAATAGAAACCTGGAGAAGTTAAGGTCTCTGGCTTGGGTTGGCCCCAGAAGTGGCCCTAGATACAGGACCCAGAAATGCCTGTCACGCCTGGGGCCTTCATCTGTGTATGTGCTGGGAAAATGGGTGAAAATCGTTTTTCTAGGCCTGGGTGGTATTGGTCTCTAGGATCCCTAAGATCCTTGGGAGGTATGGCTGAGTAGGACTCTTTCCTAGCCCGTTGTCTCTAGGATATGTAGCGCCCAGGAAGAGAAATGGGATACCCTGGAAGAATGAGGTGGGGGATGGGCTTCCTGGAGGAGGTAGGGACCGTATTTGTCCTGCCCCCTTTAACCCTAGGGGTGTAAGCCAGGTAGGGTGTGTGTGTGTGTGTGTCTTCCTGTGGGAAGCTTCAACAGAAGAGAGGTGCGAGCGGCAAGGAGACTCGGGGAGAGATGGAGACTCAGCGCAGAGGGTGGTGGGGTATCCCTGAACCTTAGGAGACTTGCAAGCAGCGAGAGGGGTAGGAGGCAGGAGACACAGATCGACCGGTCCGGCAGGCGAGTCAGGCTAGCTGACTCAAGGACCATGGCTAGGCGGAGGGGCGGGACTAGGGCGGGGCGGGTCCCTGCCCCTGCCCCGCCCTCCCCTCCTGGGGGCGTCACGTGGGGCGGGCGGAAGCGTCCGGCGGGGTGGGCGCGCCAGGACCCGTTGCTGAGAATTGGTTGCGGTGGCGGGAGTTGGTGGCGGCTCCTGGACATCTGGTCCCCGTGTGGAGTTTTCGCTCAAAACAGGTCAGTGCGGTTGCCGGGGCCTCCCAGTCTACAGCCCCTAGTCAGACGTGGCCTGCAGTTTCCCCATTTTGCAGAGGGGAACGCCGAGTCCGCGTGGGTACTCCGCGCCGTGCGCCTCCTTCCTCAGGTCATCTTGACTGTTTTCCTGACTGGTAATAGTGCTGGGGGTTGCCTCCTGAGGATGAGCGGTCGGGTCAGAGACGATAGGGAAGAGAATGAACCAGCGGGACACTGGGCTCTCAGGCTCCGAACCCAGCCCACCCTCAGGTTCCTTGGTTTTCCCATCTGTGAGATGAAGTCTCCACTTCCCCACGTTGAGCGCCGAGACCCCTACAGTTCTGCAGATCGGTATGACTCTATACCCTGGACCTGGGGCTCCAGTGACCTTGGGCAGGCTACTTCCGGTTCTGCACCTCAATTTCCCACCAGTAAATGGGGGCATGACTTCCCAAGAGCCCTTACCTGGCCCAGTTGCTGGAGAAGGAGGTTCGTGTTCACTGAATGGGGTCAAGCTGGGAGTGGGTGGTTGGGACTGGAGAGAGAAGTCTTGGAGTGCAGCCTGCAGGGCATGGGGTGAGTGTTTGGTCCCAGATCTTCAGGGGTGGTTTTGGTGCTGGGGAACTCTGGCCAGGAGTAGCCATCACAGTATGGCTTCTGCCCTATGCACTCCCTTCCCCCAAATCTCGGATCCTGAGGACTCTTCCCTGATCCCCAGACTAGGAGGGAGGGTAGCCAGGGCCAGATATTCAGGGCCAGATATTTGAGTATATTCAGGGAAGGATTTAACTGCCTGCTGGGTCCTAGGGTCCCAGACAGAGGCATTCATGACACGTGTCCTTGGAGAGTGCCCAGTCCCAAGCTGGAGTATACCTCCCAGCAAGATCATTACAGGGTAAAAGGAGCCCAGCAGAGACTCAAAGACAGGTGTGGACATGGTGCAGGCCCAGGGAGAAAGGGATGACTGGAATGAACCATGATGGCTACCTTGTAATTTACAAGGATAGGGGCCCTCAAAGGAGGGCATGGCTTGTGCAGAGGCAAGAACTTAGATGGTATGTTTGAGGAATAGCAGGAAGATGCGTGTGGCTGGAGAGATAGCAGGGGCAGGGGTGTAGAGAGAACTTATCCTTGTGTCCCTTGCCTGGGGGACCCTGACTTTTCATTAGCTACTTGCTCACTAGAGTACGGTAGGAGGGGGGTGTGCCAGACAAAGTACTGATGACTGGTCTGGTGGAGTGGGCAGAGGCCACCAGGGCTGCGATTGCCCCCAGGCTAAGTTTGGCATTCAGGCCTCCCTAGTGGACCCCAGCCTTATGCCCTCACCACCTGGTATCCAGCCATACTTCTCCCAGCATCAAGACTCAGCTTTTTGTGCTGATTGCAACCCGTCCCCTGAAGTTTTCTCCCCATCCAAATCCCCAGGTCCTTTGGGGCTTTGACTTTCAGAGGTAGGCTTCTTATTGCCTCTCTTTCCTGCCCAGCTCTTTAGTCTTGTGTAGTGGCATAGCTTAGGAAGGGTCTTCTTGGAGCTCTGTGGGGAGAGGGCCTACAGAACCATAAGGTTGTTTGGGACTTGGGGCCCAGAGTCCTTGTGGCAGCCAGCAACCACTATGTGACTCTGCAAGTCCCCAAACTCCTCAGAGCCTCTATTTCCCCATCTGCAGGAGAGGGTGACCAGCCCTGGCCTCATGCCCCAAACAGAGACTGTGCTGGGGCAAGAATCAGGTCTATCTAAATCTAAGTCCTGCCTCCTAGCATAGAGTGTTCGAATGAAGGAAAGGGAAAACCCAGGGGAAGGGGTCAGTTCAGAGGGGTAGGGGGGCATCTGAGAGTACTGGAAGCTAGTGGTGGACCAGGCCTAGGGGATTGGCTGGAGGGGAGAGTCCCCTCCACTCTTTGGGGCCCTCTTTCCTTCCCACCCCATTCTCCTTTGGCTGAGCTCAAAGCCATCCGCCAATGCTCAAACAAGTGGCTTCTGTTCCCAGGGGAGGGGGAGGGGAAGCAGGCTTTGGGCTTCAGGCCCGGCTGTCCAGCGCTGACCCTGGCCCCCCGCCCCTCACTCTAGGTCTTAACCCTTGACAGCCTGGACTGGTCCTTGGGCGGCTTGAGGGCTGATGCCCCTTACCTACCAGCTGTCCCCTCTACCTTTAGTCTTTCAAGGGTTCTTTTATGTCAGGAAGGGTTTTAATAGAATATCAGTGGGAAAAGGGAAAGGCTGGAGAAGATAATACCATGGACAATTACAGACTACTTGGCCCAGAATCTTCTGTCATAGTTGGGGAGACTGAGGCCAAGAGCCAGAGGTAAGGCTAGGATCCCACAGGAAGCCCTGGTGAGGGTCAGGGCTGACTCTAACTCCTAGTCTGGCCTCTTGTGGGGAAAAGGGATAGAAGGTGAGGGAACTGTCTTTGATTAAGAATCTACTGTGCACAGACACTATACATTTGTACTTTATTTAACCTTACATCATGGCACAAGACAAGGGTCATCCTGCAGTATCAAGGGGGAAGAAACTGAACCTCAGAGAGAGCTCAGTAATAACATCAAAAAGTGTGGCACTGTCAGCTTATAACATTCCTATTGCACCATTGTAGACAGTTTTATATTTATTAACCAGTTTAAACTTGCCAACAGCTCTAGAAGTTGGGTACCATTCTGCAGGTAAGGAAAGTGAGGTACAGAGAGGTTCAGTAACTTGCTGAGGATTGTAGTGAGTAAGTGGTGGAAATGTGATCAGAACCCAGGCATTTGCCTCCTCTGGCCTGGTTTCCCCTCTCCCAGTCTGATCTCACCCCTTGAGCTCTGCCCAGGGCTGAGTGAGGGGTTTTTCTCTGGGTAGTGGCCAAGGCAGCCTCCAGCAGAGTATGACCCCAGCCAAACAGATCCAGCCCCTTTTTCAGGAGCAGAGTCTGGTCCCTGGGGTGGCTCCTCTCACTCCCTTCTCTGGTCTCAGGCAGACTCAGCCCGCTCTGCAGTACTGTGCAGGGGATGTTTCATGTTCCTGCAAGGGTTCAGCAAGAAGGGTGGCCACTCCAGGGTCTAAACAGCATAAAGATGTGGAGAGCCCCAGACAGCCTCCTCCAGTTATACTTACCACAAAGCTCAGGACCTGCTGCTGACTTAACACCAGTGCCCCCAGCTCTGATCAAAAAGGCATCTTGTCCACCTACCCTCACCCCTGGCCAGAGCCCCAAACCTGTACATTCCAACCAGGGCTCTGGGGAGGGCAGTCCCAGCGCAAAGAGGCAGGTGATTGTCAGTGTCAGGAATGGTATGGGGATAGTGCAAGATTGGTCTTCCTCGTGGCCTTCCCATAGAATCTCTCTCTTTCTCTCTCTCATTCTTTGAGCCATAGTTCAGAAGGGAATAATACCCTGTCCTGTAATTAGGACATCTGTCCTAGATATTGGGACAATCAGAGATTGGGACTAGTTCAATAACAAATTATTTAATGGGCTGGGTGCCCGTAGCTCGATGGTTAGAATGCTGGCCCCATGCACTGGGGATGGCAGGTTCGAACCTGGCTGGGGCCTTCTAAATAGAAGCAAACAAACAAATTAAAAAAAAACCAAATTATTTAATGATAGTAAATTATTATTTAATAGTGCAATAGTAGTAGCAGTTATTATTTCTTGGAAGCTTACTATGTGCCAGGCAGTGTGTTAAGCACTTTATGTACCAATTCATTTAGTCCTCAGCAATAGTCTTATGAAAGGCTGGGTGAGGTGGTTCACGCCTGTAATCCCAGCACCCTGGAGGCTGAGGTGGACGGATTGCCTGAGCTCACAGGTTTGAGCAAGAGCGAGACCCTGTCTTTAAAAATAGTAGGGCATTATGGCAGGCACCTGTAGTCCCAGCTACTTGGGAGGCAGAGGCAAGAGAATTGCTTGAGGCCAAGAGTTTGAGGTAGCTGTGAGCTATGACACCATGGCATTCTATTGGGGGTTACAAAGTGAGACTCTGTCTCAAAACAACAACAACAAAAAACAGTAGTCTTATGGGATAGTTTAATGGATGTTCCCATTCATTTTACAGATGAGGAAACTAAGGTCCAGAGGGGTTAAGTGATTTGCCCAAGATCATCCATTACATAGAATAGCTAGGAATTTCCATTGCTTTACAATGATGATCCTGAGCACTGGGAGGTGATGTATGTCCAGAAGGCTGCCTGGTCACATGACAATTCTGGTGGCTAGATGTGGAGCTAGAATGCCTGCAAGGGTATCTTGCTTGCAGACCTAGGATGAGTACTTAACAGAGGTCTGGTTTCTGTTCTTTTCCTACTTTGTCCACCCTGGCTTTTTAAAAAAAATTCAGACAGGCTCTCCCTCTGTCATTGAGGCTGGAGTATAGTGGCCTCATCATAGTTGACTTCAACCTTGAGCTCTTAGGCTCAAGCAATCCTGCCTCAGCCTCCCGAGTAGCTGGGACTGTAGGTGTGTGCCACCACACTAGCTAATTTTTGGGTTTTTGGCCAGGGCTGGGTTTGAACCCGCCACCTCTGGCATATGGGGCCAGCGCCTTACCTTTTTGAGCCACAGGTGCCGCCCATTTTTGTATTTTTTTTTTTTTTTTGAGACAGGAGACTCAAGCTGTCCCCCTGGGTAGAGTGCTGTGACATCTCAGCTCACAGCAACCTCCAACTCCTGGGCTCAAGCGAGTCTCCTGTCTCAGCCTCCCTAGTAGCTGGGACCACAGGCGCCCACCACAACGTCCGGCTATTTTTTTGGTTGCAGCCGTCATTGTTTGGCGGGCCCGGGCTGGATTCGAACCCGCCACCTTGGATGTATGTGGCTGGTGCCTTAGCCACTTGAGCCACAGGCGCTGAGCCCATTTTTGTATTCTTTATAGAGATGAGGGTCTTGCTTTTGTTCTGGCTGGTCTTGAATTCCTGGCCTCAAGTGATCATCCTGCCCCAGCTTCCCCAAGTGCTAAGATTATAGATGTGAGCCATTGTGCCAGGTCAACCCTGGGTTGTTTTTTTTTTTTCTTTTTTTGAG